CTGCAATGCTTTGAGTCTAACTTTTCTTATGTGACATGTAAATAGACTTAAGTCTTGTATGACATGGACAAAAAAATATAAACGTAACAAAATTGTTTTTAATGCAAAGAGACTAGATTTATAACTTGGGTCTAAATTAGACTTAAGAGTAGACTGAGTCTCTTATTTTTGCTGTCACGTCAGCAAGACTCAGTCCACTTGCATTTACACTAGAGTAATGCTCACATACCCACGGTAGACACATATTAATATGCCCACCGCGTATGTGGCATGCACTCATTGGTGATGTATTTTTTTGAACATATTAACATCACCTATGTGTGCATGCCACATAAGCGGTGGACATATTAAAATGTGTCCACCGTGGGTAGGGGAACATTACTTAGAGTATATATTTTTCTAGACTTAGTCTATTTTCTACGTGGCCTACATATTTTTTTCAATGGACCTAAAGCATTGCTGATGCTCTAATCAAAACTAATTTTTCGCCCTAAAAATTTGAATTGACTTAGGACTTACTTGTATATAAATTAATTTACTCATTTTTATTTCAACTCAAAATCTAACCCAAATTTAACTCAACTCCATTGTTTCCAATATTATTAATATGATTAAATAATACAAACCAATCATTCTTACACATCACATCAACTTTAATTCACTATTCATCCACTCACATAATCTTAACTACCTATCATTTCCAATCATTTACAATCATTTATCTCTTATTTTTACATCAAATCAATTTTTATCATTTTATTTTAAATATTATTTTAATATTCTTAAAATTTCACTACAACTAACCATACCACTTTATTTTTTTTTTCAAAATTAATTATAATTAATCAAAATAAATCTATTTGAACAAATTATTTCATAAAGAATCGCCCCTATATATAATTCCCGAATGCGCTGAGCCTACGTGGTTGCTTCTGGTGCTTCGGAATTCTACTTGGCGAAGAATCATGCTTCGTAATTAGGTTCGGACAAATAATATTGATATATTAATAATTAATATCTAGGTTCGGACATTCCATAAATATTATTGAGCTAACTTAGGTATTTTAATATCACTTGTACTAATATAACACTTTAATTCTTTGTAATTTTACATAGTGAGGCACTAAGTGACTAATATATCCCTGACTTTTGATTTGTTTCCTTCAATTAGCTATTGAGTTATAAATGTATTTCAAAAGTTGATAACTTTTGTATTTCTTATCGGTTTTACATATATAATATATCAAATTAATCATCTTTTCATTATCTTCGATTTGACATCCATATTGTATATATATATATAAAATAAATAAATAATATTTACCTTTATAATAATAAAAAATAATATTTATTAAACTTTATTAGAAAAATAAAATTATTTCTCAGTTGATATATTTTTGTTTAATGTAGTTATATGTTGTAAGTTAAAAAAAAATATTATAATATAACACAAGTAAGTCACACAAATAAAAAATGTCATACTAAATATGTAATAATATATATTTTTTATAAAAGTTATTTAAATTTTCAACTAATTTTTCTCATTAATTTTAGATTTTAAGGAAAAAATTAGGAAGCACCCGTGCAATAGACGGGCGTTGTACTAGTCAAACCTTTAATGTAGCATCCTCTTAAAAATTAAAATAAAATTTCGCTGGACTTCGAAAACAAAATATACCCTAATCAAAACCAAATTTTCGCCCTAAAAATTTGAATCGACTTACTCCGTCGTCCACCGGGTATTCATTCTGCTTCAAATTTTGCAGTCGTGTGGTGCTCTGTGTCAACGTTTCGCCATTTTCGTTGCTCCTACAATGAAACATTTAAAAGACGGAGACTTTGGAGATCATCTGCAAAACGGAGAGTTGGTTGCGAAAGCTGATAATGCTTCGGCCCTTGAGCAACATTTGGTGGAACAAGTAAATTTTCCCGCTTTTTTTTCCTTTCTCTATGTTTTTGGTTTCATTTTCGTTGCTTTGATTGTGGATTCTACTGAAGCAGAAAACCTCCAAGAGAAAGAGTGATATGACTTTAGAAGAAATGTACAACGGTCAGTATGATTTCGAAGACGATGAGGACGATGACAGCGACTGGGAGCCCTCTGCTGTCCCAAACCCTAACGTTGTTGAAGTTCCAAAGTGGTTTTGCCTCAATTGCACTATGGTTAATATTGGAGTTGATTCGCATTGTGATGTAGGCATATGTTATATCGAACTTGTTGATTGATTCTTGTTACCCACTTCTCTCTAACTCATAAGCCAACATACATTTTTGCATACCTTTTGTGCAGCTATGTGGCGAACATAGAGATTCTGGGATCGTACAACGTGGCTTTTTTGCTTCTCCTTTTGATCCAGCAGATGTTCCCGCCGGAAATGCAGCTGATGAACGCGAAGGTTTCAGTTTGAGTAAATTGTTCCATGATCATGCTTATCTAATCGGGCACTAATGCTTTTCCTCGTTTTATCATTTTTAATAGTTTGGTGCTTTTATGTGAAAATACCTTTTACAGTTACACTATACCAGACCTAAACAGTGAAGATAAAAAGATACATGTGTGAGAATACTAACCTAATAGGTTGATAAATTGTTCTCCGTGAGACATAAATTAAGAGTGTTTTGAGACATGGATAGTGTAAGCTTCTGATGCTAAGCATTTCTCTTGCTTGCTCCTTCCGCACTAGAATCCACAAAAAACCAGGGCAATCGCATATGATTAAGACATGTTGCTTATTTTAAGACATATCGCATATGAACTTACATTTGAGGTACAATGCGTGGCACAAGCATATGCCATATCTGTTTGAGGCACATTAAGAATTTTGACATATGCCATATCTGTTTTAATTAGCAATCTCAAGTAAGTTAATATTTTCGACCTTAGGGGAAAACATGAAATGTGAAAAGATTAAAGAAAGTACAGAGAGAATTATTGGAAGGTATTTTGTTTTGACCTTTTTTTTTTCATTTATTTTTTTGATAAGAGAAACAAACTTATTCCTTATTCATAAAATAAGAAAGTACAATAAGCGAGTGATTGGGTCATCCACTCCATGAGAATGCAATTTACATTCTTCAGAGTGATTAGCTCAAATCTGTGAACAATTCAAAGGAAAAAAATCTCTACAATCTTTGTGCATATAGGCCCATAATCCCATCCTACATTTAATCCTTTCCAGCAAATATATAGCAGATTCTCTATGATAATAAAAAATCTTCCTACGCCCCTCTATCAAAATTACCGACATACAACAGGTATACTCATCCTCCGTAAGATCTTGCCTCTATATCCTAATGATAATCCTAATCCAACATTTATATCTTATTTTTATTTTTACTCCATTGTTCTCAATCTACATGCAATAGATTAGGTTCCTTAGATAACTGTAATTCTTCGAAACTCTTCTTTGCTTTATTTGGGTGGATCTTGGGAGAATGAATACTCTTGAATCATGAGCACCATTGTTTCACTTTCCTGAAATCTTTCCATTTTTAACAAATAAACGAGAAGCTCCATATCTCCCGACCTGCGTTCCGTCCACCTACCTCAGTTGTCCATCATACATTTAACTAAAATGTACCACGTATCTGGAACATTATGTATTAAACAGCAGACCAATATCTCTTTCTTCTTTTTTCTTTTCTTTCCAATAATCTTATTTTTCGCCCACTTTTGTTGTTTTTATTATTTTCCCCTTTTAAGAAAGTTTTGAAATACAATAAATGATGAACTTGCGAACTTTAACTACTTAATTGTTGAAATATCTATGTCCTATAACTCGAAATCCTGTATTGTACATATCCAGACTATTGAGTCCTTAGGTTCCTTATTGTGATTAATACAACCCAACAAATGAAAGGGTTCAAGTGTAACAGAACACAAGTTAACTTATTATTTCATTGCTAAAATTTTTATTTCTAATCTATTTGGTGAGCTAGTTCTCTTTTTTGTGTTCATTTATTATTCCCTGTCATTTGGTTGAAAGCTACCAGACACTAGCACTATCAGTTATGTCAGTATAATTTATCAGACCTCACTTTAATTAGGAACCTGCTGCATGTGTAGAAAGAAAATTTTGGAAAAGCATTTGGGTTTGTTGTTCAGAATTGTCAGGAGTGTACCTGCATATAACATACCTTTCTCGTTTTGGATAACCTCATTTTGTGAAGAGAAGGTCTATACAACTCATATGAGGGAGGAGTGGCAAAGTTATTGCACATTTGTCTGCATACCTGGGGTTATACATTTTACTCAGATGAGTAATTTCATATCTCCCTGTTAGGCATCTTGGTGCTATCAGCCATACAATCCAATGATATGAATAGTGTATGCTTTTGATAGATATCCTATCAGCTTTACCATAACCGGAATGTGTAGGAACGGGATAGTAGAAAACTTCACCACTGATCGCAACAATATGCATAGAAGCTTTTTTATTCTTGTTTGCGTGTTGAATTGATGATGTTAAATTTTATTTTATGGCGGAGATCAAATTTTTAAATGAGTTAAATGTATGTTTATTTTATTTTTACCTCTTGGGTTGTATAACCTAGAAACTGAAAGGGTGATTTCCTATTCACATTTCTTGTAAATGTAGAAATAATAATGTCATTGTAAGTGATTGAAATAATTGAAATGGTACAGATTCCCAATTGCGAAGTATTGCAACGGGCAACGTTACAGCAATTGGATACGATGATAGAATGTTGCTTCACGAAGAAGTATGTAGCTCGACCTTTTGATATATAAATTAAAATTATCTTCCCGTGGTTGAGATAAAATCAAAATTTATGTACTAAAATTCCTAAACTCTTTTTATAATTTTAAATATAATTAAATGATTGTAATTGGTCTCTTATTCCACATACTGATCATTCAAGGAAACTTTCAAGCACTATCGTTTATTTAGTGAGTACAGGCTACATCTTAAATTTAAGCTAAATATCTTCTTGTCTGTCCATTTGCTGAGAAGGTTGGATTGAAGTCACACCCCCATCCAGAAAGGCCTGATCGTCTTCGAGCCATTAGTGCTAGCCTTGCAGCTGCAGGTTTATTGGCAGCTACTCCTATTTACAGATAAACCACCATCCACTCCTTACATGAAAGAGAAAATGATGTATCATTTGTCCGTATTATACTATCATGCATCTCTTAGTAATGTCTTCTGGAAATTGATTATATAGAAACCAATTGACATGACATTGGTTTTTCTTTTTTAATTATTTAAGGCATATTTCCGGGAAAGTGCTATCCGATTCCAGCAAGAGAAATTACGAAAGAAGAACTTTTGATGGTAAGATAAATGTACTAAATACTATTCGGGGAAACTCATTGGTGCCAGATTTTAATTAGATATATCATATATGTGATTTTTCTAGGTTTCCATGTTTAAAGTTTTTTTTTTATCATATTTTCCTCTATATACACTATGAAACTCATCTAAATATTGTTCGCCTGTATTTTTAAAGCTCGACCGCAAGTGAACGGCTTTGCTCGTAGTATGTGGCGAGCAAGGTCGTATCCCGAGAGACCAAATAATTAATGTATCAATTAGTCGATTATGATAGTGTTAACTTTATTTAGACGACCGATTATGGGATAGATTAACTAAACTAAGAAAATATAATAAAAAGATAATAAATTTAAAGCAAGGTGCTAGCTAGAAAAAGACATAAGAAATATATGGGAATGATAGATTTAAGACTGTGGTTTCAATTAACAGTTGGGTTCCTTAAAAAATATCACAACTAAATGTTTCCTTTATCTACCTTTATCACAATTATAGCTTATCGTCTCTCGCGAGATTCATATATTAGCGTCTCCACTCAACACATGCAATTCAACTCCAAATTGATTAAAATATCTAATATCCTCACAACGACCTACTAACCTCTCGATTCAAATGAGTAAATTATGTCAAATATTAAATACCTAATATTGAACTCATCTCTCGAATTACGAACAATATTGTCAGACATACAAAAACATTGATCAAGTGCTAAACATGGAATGAGAACAAAATATTTGAATAAGGTTCAAAAGAAAAACAATTTATTATAAATAAATCATCCAAAATCCCAACATATTAATCTACTACCAAGTCTTAGAATCAAATAAACTAGCCACTCTTATTCGATCAAATACATAGACATATTAGAAATCGACATGGTAAATAAAAATTCAAAAGGAAGAAGAAAGAAAAACGAGGAATCTCGTCGATCTCTCCATCTCCTTGATTCCTTTGTAGTTGGATCTTCTTTTGCTTCCCAATTGCTTCTCTTGCGTGTTCTAGGGCTCTTCTCCTTGTGTATCACGTTCTCTTCTCTTCTCAAAATAGGGTAAATATGCTTTTATATTGTTCAAAAACCTTCTCCTTTTCAAAATAGGTAAGATTTAAAAAATAGCTCCCGCGTGCGACACGGCCTGTCCGTGTCGAATTTAAAGCTTCGAAATCTCCCTGTTGAGGTGACACGGCATCTGATGCCCGCGCGTGTCACTGCCCGTGTCACAAATCTGCACTCTTCTTTTTGCTCGTTTCACTCGTGTCTTCCAGCATCAATCTTTCATCGTCCCAGGTTCTTAGGTACTCACCATTCCCCTCCAATAGCCAAAAGCTCTACAAATATGTAGAAATATCTACAAAACAAGCACGCGTAATACATTTCCAACAAGAGTAGAATCAAAGTACAATAATACAATTTATATACCAATAATGCAATGAATAAGCTCTAGATGCTATATAAATATGGTGTAAAATCACACATGAACAAATATATGTAGTTTTTATTCCAGAATTGTAGCCTGCCACGTTCAGTTTTTGTATTGGAAAGATCGGTTTTAGATAATAGATACTGATAATTTTGTGTTTCTGCAACAAATAGATTCTCTCTTCTGATAACAAATGTTTCATTTTGATTTTAGGTCCACTCACTCGAGAATGTTAGAGCTGTTGAACTTACAAGTCATGTCCAGTCGAGGTATGTGAAACTGCTGAATTATCCAGAAAGGAAACAAATGTCTCACCAAGGACTTCTTTGTACTTCTTTATATATATTGGTCCTGGATATCTGTCTGTAATGGTTGAAGAGGTGACAGTCATTACTATTCTTCTTGCATGATACACTATTTTTTATGTCTAATCAGCCAACTACAATTATGAAGTTCCTTAACTACGAAATAAAATCAATGTTTGCAGCTATTTTACACCTGATACATATGCGAATCAGTATTCAGCTAGATCTGCCAAGCTTGCTGCTGGTTTATGTTTTGACCTTGCTGCAGCTATATATCGCGGAAGCGTAAAAAATGGTTTTGCTTTGGTAAGAAAATATGAATGAGTTTATAAAAGCCTTAGATGAAATCTATCATATTGTTCGACTAGAAGAACTCTTTAAAACTCTTCCTCTCCTTCCATATACAATGAGCCAGGTCCGCCCTCCTGGTCATCATGCTGGAGTGAAAGAGGCCATGGGCTTTTGTCTTCACAACAATGCAGCCATTGCTGCATCGGCAGCTCAGATTGCAGGAGCTAAGAAGGTCCTGATTATTGATTGGGTAAGTATAGTAACATTTGCATGTGTAGAAATTACCTTATACCAGGTCTTTCTTACGATTAATTAATTACTTGATTCTCACAGGATGTGCATCATGGTAATGGAACCCAAGAAGTTTTCGAGGAAAATAAATCGGTGCGTTATCCAAAAGCTCATAAATGGATAACTCTGAACTTACAGTTCTTGTGTGATACACAGTTTTGAATTGCCCAGGAATATCTTTTTATCTGACTACTATTGACTGTGGTGTATTTGCAGGAGCATTAGAGTTATATGAGAGATGTGGTTTTGTTGTTTCTTTAATACATTATTATTATATGGAAACAATGACATAAACAATAAATGATCAGTTACAGTAGAAACAGCCTGAGAAATGTCACCAACACACTCCAGTATATTTTTTCTTCACTAGATTTTTAAAATGTTCTGATGTTTTTGCTGAAAAAGTTTTGGTTGTATCTTTTTGAATGTCTTTCCAACCAAAATTATTAAGGTTGAATGTCTATATTTGTTAATTTCTCCCTCACCATTAAAAAAATGATTGATTTCCCTAGACCAGTTGCATCTTAAATGATTAATGTTATGTTTGCTCATGACCTTGAGATCATGTCTTAGAGTTGCGACTAAATCTTGAAATAAATAGAATGAGCCAAAGAAATGAGATCATTAGATGTTCAGAAACGCAGTTACTCGGCTTCTTTCTCTTGCATGATAAATCAGAAACTGAAAAAGAAAAGAGAAGGTTTATTGTCTGTTTGGTCATTTTTCCTCACGATTTGTTAAATTTTGCAGTGAGTTTTATTTGTTTCTATGAGAAATTAGAATGATGCTAATTGCATGTGATGTTGGAAGTTATAAGGATGGAAAATCAAAACTTGTTTCCTTTTTGTAGCTTTTATTTAATTCCATGCTGAGATTTTCATTTTGAATATTAATTTTAATTTTGTAGGTTTTGTATATATCTTTGCATAGATATGAGGGTGGAAAGTTCTATCCTGGTACTGGATCTGCTTATGAGGTGGTTCACACTCTTTTTAACCATAGTGTATCTGTGTGCTGCTATGCACTAGCACTGATACACATTTTGAGTACACAGCTTCTGTTTCAACATCTCCATTTTTACTTTATTATGCGTGTGAATGATGCCTTAGTTCATAGGCTATTGTTGGGCATTTTTTCTTGTAATTATTTCTCACAGCTTGAATTCAGAGTTTTAGTAACATATAAGCAAGAAAAAGATGCTGCCAAAGAAACTGCAAGAAACATTTTTGCTACCAACATACAGACTCTTTGGTTCCTATATTATCTTGTTTAATGTTATACGTCAATTGTCTTCATGGTTTAATACATCATCATTTAATTATCTGTGCTATTATAACTCTTAACAAATCTCTCGTTGAGCGGCTCATTAGTCTAAAGCTAAAGAGGAGGAACGAGCGCCTCATGGAAGCGCGAGATATTATCTGTAATTTCAATTTTTGATGGAAACTTAAATGTCACTTAACTTACTAGGGTTAGTCGTTCATACCATATGACACATCAAGTTCTCTTATGTAATTGCACCTTTGAAATTGTATTTCATTGGTTTTTCTAAGTAGAATTATTTAATAATGTAATTTAACTTTTAAATTCGTTATCTAGCATTTGATTTGATAGATAACTAAATGTATATTCATCAAAACCATGAAGCCAAAGAATATTCAATTTCATGTTGTCAAACAGGGGCGTAAAAAGCTGTCTCCATGTACATGCATGTGTTAGGTGCTTCTGAACTTAAGTTTAATACTGTTATTTTTTCTCTCATTTTTGGTATTTTTTCTGTTGATGTTGGTGCAACATTACAATATTACTTTTGCAGGTTGGGAAAGGGGATGCTAAAGGGTATTGTATTAATGTTCCATGGAGTTGTGGGGGTGTTGGCAACAATGACTATCTTTTCGCGTTTCAGCAAGTTGTGCTTCCTATAGGTGACGATGTTCTGTACCTATCTGTAGTTCTCCATATGGTCACTATATTCGTCCTGTTTAACATTGAGGCTTTTGTATGGGATAATAATTTGATTTGGGGACTGACAAATGGTGAATCTGCATAATTTCTTTTCCTGGTCTGATGAGATTGTAAGCTTGATTTGGTTAGGATTACTAGCAAGTGAAAATTCATTATTGTATTTCCTTTTATATAGAGTACTAAGGTGGCAACTAGAAAGTGAATGCTATTTCTTTTATAGTTTCTGTACAAGCCATGCACTCTTCAGAAGGTGTTACTTGTCTATATTCATGGGACAAGTATTGATTTAAATTGTTTCTTGCATATTTGAACTTGTTAATAGTAGTTAACATGGATAATAACATACTCTTCATAGTTTTGACCTGCTGATGTTGCAACATTTGTATGCAGCTTCGGAGTTTGCTCCAGATTTTACTATAATTTCTGCTGGATTTGATGCTGCTCGTGGCGACCCTCTTGGCGGCTGTGATGTATAAATTGATTTTTTTTTATTATTTTTTTTATTATTATTTTTTTAACTATAGTATAGATTTGATGCTCCAGATTTTACTATAATTTTGACCTGATGATTTTTTTTTTCTTTTTTTCTTTTTTCACGTCCTTAAATTAATATTATCTGGGAAATAAACATGTTACTCTATCAACACAGCACTTGGCGAGGAGCTACTTTCTAGTCTTTGACGTTTTAAGCATTATTAGTCATTGAATTTAAAATGGTTACCTGATCTAGGATGAGACATTAGGATGCATGGATTTAATGATCATATTATATAATATTATATCAGACTATCGTATCTGTTGTCTTATTTCGTTGTTTTTTTTTTTTTTTTTTTTTTTTTTTTTTTTTTTTCTTTTAGATCACTCCTACTGGCTATGCACAGATGACACAGATGTGCTGTGATCTATTTGGTGGAAAGTTACTTGTTATCCTTGAGGGCGGGTGTGTTTTTTCTTACTGTTGTTTCCTCTCTATTTGTTATTCCATTTCTTCCTTCAATGTCATTTTCCTTTTAAAATTTGCTTTTCTCATTTTTCTTTCCTCCATTTGCATTCTGTTTGTTTTAAAAAATATTCTTTTCTTCCATCTAAATCTCCTGTTTTTGCAGGTATAATCTGCGATCAATATCAGTCTCCGCTACTGCAGTTATTAAGGTAACATTTATTTGTCAATAATATCCTACATAGCACCTCTGCTAGCGAGAAATAATTAAAGGTGAAGCTAGCTCTAAGGTGGTTGAATTTAATCCAGTGTTATCAAATGGCGGCCATGGCGGTATGGCGTGGCGGATTTTTGACAATCCGCCATGCAAAATTTGTGAATGATGGCGGTCATGGTGGCGCTGTCATGGAGGCGCCATAGACCGCCACGGCGGCCGCAATGGCGGAATTTTGGCAAACAGCCATGTACCGCCATCCGCCATTAATAACACTGATTTAATCCCTCCATATGTGATGGTTGTTTCATGGGTTGTAATGGGTAAGTAGTCAAAGTTCCAAGGCCAGGAAATTTATTACCATCTGAGATGGGATAGGCAGTTCAGTTTTGCCTTTTGGAAGTGGAAACTAGTAGTTGAGGGCCTGTTTCTTTCCCCCTTTAAAAATTGATTTAAGTTTAGTTAAAGGTTTGTTATGAATGCTTATACTAAGTTGAAAGTTGAACAAGCAAAGATAGCTACTAAAATTAAAAAGGATAAATTGGATTTCATCTAAAAATACATGTTGCTTGTGCAGCCTTCTAAGATGTCAAGAAATCAAAGGTCACGTTGTTGTGTTGTATTTTTACTTTTGCTTTAGTATGTTACACTCATTCCCATTTTAGTTGTGTTTTGCTGTACCCCTGAGTCATAAAACGCATGGACATCCTTTTGTTTTTGACTTTCATCTTGTAGTGGGGCATGATTAGTCTTCAATGATCTGGGGTGCCGTCTTTGAGAGTCTCTCTATCTTGTTGTCTTCTTAATTGAGTGCTTGCACTTCATTGTGCTTGGGCTTCTAATGATTTTGGGATACAATGTCCAGGGTTGTTCTCATAATGTTGTCCTATTTGTTGAGTGCTCAATAATTTATTGAAAATGATTTAACATGGTAATCTTCTACATCATGAATCAGATCATATATGACATATATGACGAAGTTTTTTTAATGCCCATCATGAAATGTCGAGCCCGTCTTCATGTATCTCAAATGTTTATTACATGAATAAACTAAAGAACATCACCAAAGTTTCTTTGGCTCCTTACGTAATTATTTTGCTTCAGTAGCTTGGGGTCCAACATGAGTAAATTGACCCCATAGTCTTGTATCCGATAACGGCTAGTATAGCTATTGTAGAGACATTTTTTAAGAGTCTATGTGGCATAAAAATGAATAACAGCGATATAGGAGGCATCATAATATTATCATGGAATAAAGAATCACAATTAAACTTTCACCCTTACATATTCCGCATTTACATGGATGTTAGATTAGTTCGATCTGCTGATAATGCAGTCTGTTCACAGATGACTCCATCTACTCAATGTGGTTGAGTGTGTTGTTTGATAGAGCAATTCTGCTGGCTATCAGGAGTGACACTAATAGTTTTTTACCCGATGGAAGAGTTCTTATCTATACAAAAAAGGGAAGTTGTTATTACAGCAACTAAAAGAAGTTGATAGAGTAGAATGTCTGTCTGTTTGCTTATATGTATGCATACATATGCTTGAACGATATGACAGATGCAAAATATAGTATGACTTATCAGCTGTCCCTTACTCTTGAAATAGTCCTTCTGGGACTTTTGGTTCTAGCATCACCTCATTCTGATCTGTCAGCTCAAAGAAGTATCGTGATTTTAACCTTCCCATTGCAACAAATTTTTACCTCTTTATTTGATGCATGTTACAATTATTATACATTAAAATTTCTTTCTAGAACAGTCCTCATGATCGAGGAAGTCATTAATTATATTTTTTGTCAGTGAAATCTTCAGTACGGCTACATAACCACATACCTGGTCTTTGTTTATGGTATAGATCAGGCGAAACGAGCATAAATCGTGGAGAGTAATATTGAAGTATAAATAATAGTTAAACAACTAAGGAAAGGAGAATAACCCTACAGATTTGGGGTAATTTTGGGATCTGGGTTGATTGCCCTTTCGAATATCTTTATTTTCTTTCTTCTATTATTATTATTCTCTTTTATAATTATGTTAGTGTTGTATAAATATAGGATTTTTAGTAGAGACAAGGTAGGCAATACGGATCATATTGTAATACCTTTGGCTATAGGGCAAGATTTACTCTTACTGGGCAGAATGGTTCTGCTGGGAAGCTTTAAGCTTCTGGTTTCTGTTTATTACTAAATAAAATTTCGTATTTCATTCTCTTCATACTTTACTCCTATCAGTAGTTAATAAATCCAGAAGCTGTCAACTGGTCAATAAATGCCGGATAACTGCCTTGGCTTGTTTAATGGTACTTGGTTTGCTTTCCCCAGACATTTGTTTTGATCCAGTGATTCTGAAATTCAAGGAATTACCACCAACTAAAAGATGATATCCGAAAAGCTTCGGAAATCAAAGTTCTGAAAGTTACAGCTTTGCAAACTGTTCTGTCTTACTCTGTTCTTTGAATTGAATTTCTAGTGTTAAGATAAATTAGGATATGAAAGATTCACCACCTGCAATAAACTGATGGAGGGATCACAAACGTTGTATTAGTTAAATGAATACCAATGCCTCATTTACGAGAACCTGAATTTGGAAAAGAAGAAAAAAACAATTTCTTCTCACCATCTACAATCCCATGATTATAGGAAAATTTGCAATGTAAAAATTACCGAATATGGAATACAGGTGTTGTTGAAATAATCTTCTATTTAAAAAAAAATGTTCACTGTTATGTCAGAAGGTGGCTGGGTAATTGGATTGTGATTGTACCCAATGCCTAATTGCTGAGTGGCTATTTGTTGTCTTTTCTAGGCGTCCTAACTTTTGCCCAATCTTGTATGATGGGTCAGAAAGGACTGAAAGCATGCTCTTGGTTAAATGCAGTTTGCAGAAATTGGGTTTCTTTTAACTGTTGGTTGATGAACTATTTTTATCCATACATAAAACAATATAGCCCAACATTAAATGCTTTGAATCACATGATCACGACATGAATCACGTTGCTTCTTTTCAATGATTGATTTTCTTGTTGAGTTTACCTTTTGATTTATGGACATGTCATGTCGAGAAATGGTCGAGAGTTCTGAAGAATTTATGCTGAAGGTTATAAGTATTTATTAGATTCTGATCATAACAGATATTTACTGTCTAAATGTATGGTTGAAGTACTTGAATTTTTGTTTTACCCTTCATTAAATAAACTGATGTTTTCGGTCTTTCCTCTCTTTTGATTATTCTCGTCTTCCTTGATTTCCAATCCCCCTTTTTTCTTGTTATTTCCTCAAGCAGTCCTCTGTTACATGCAGGTCTTACTTGGTGAAAGTCCTAAACATAATGTGGAGCAGCAACTAATGCCAACAAAGGCTGGACTGCAAACCATTCTAGAAGTGCTTAAAATTCAGTCGAATTATTGGCCTTCATTGGAACAGAGACTTTCGAACTTACTATTAGAATGGGGATGGTATACCCTTCAGGACAAAAGTTAGTATATTACTTTCCCAGACTCATATTCCTATTAATTTGAATCCTCCCATTTTTTATTTTTTTTTTTGTTAAATGTCGTGATAAAAACAAGTATGATATTATGATGTCATATCAAGGTAGTGTTATGGGTACAAAATCATTAGAGGTAAACTGATACATAATTCTGTTGGAGCTTAAAATTTCAAACAATAGTGCAAAGGCACCTGATAGTTTTCAAGAGTGAATCTTTATCATTATTTAATTGACTTTGATAGCTTCTATTTGCAGAAAAGATGAGGGAAAAGAAGAGACGGGCAAAGGCGCCTGCCTGGTGGAAGTGGGGACATAAAAGATTGTTGTATAAGCTATGGCGCAAGAAGATTTCTCGACAATTTTAACTGCTTCCGTGCACGTTTTTCGTGCGGCTAACTTTGCTCCATCTGATTCTGATCTGTGTTTAAATGAGGTTTCTTTTGAACTATATGTAATGTTGTTTCTAATTCGTGGGATATTTAGTAATTTTCTTCAATAGCACTTGGCAGTCTTCCTACGCAGTTTTGAATGAACACACTGAAGATGTACCCAGCTGAATTTGCTATGACAATTGTCTGTTTTGGTTTATCATTATGCACAAGCACGCACGCTCGTTGTCGAATTATATGAATTTAATGCACATAAACATTGATCACATTAATAATTTAATATGCAATCAGTCAAACTGATGAGTACCAAATAAATGTTGAAATGAAATGTTCACATTAATACCAAATCCAGTGGATAAAGGAATATTTGGTTTATTGGATCAGATTATTTTTTTTACAAATTTTTAATTTCAATTTTAACTTATTTTTATTTCAAGCAAACTCTCTTCAATATTATTAATATAATTAAATAATCACTCAATCATTTTTAAATAGATGTCGTTAAAGGGAAAAATACATAACTAACCTAGTTATGAAAAAGAATTCCATAAAAATACTTAAATATATTGAATTTCAAAATTACTCTAACAAGGAGTCAAAAATACTCCAACAAGGAGTTACATAAAAAAAAAAATTTTAACTGCCCTCTTTTTCTCTCTTCCTTCTAACTCCCACACTTCTCGTTAATTTTTTTTTCTCTTCTGCACTTATCTCTTTCTTCTTCTTAAATTCTTCTTCTTGAATGCCTAAAGAAATAAACCAACAAAAAAAAAATTAATCAATTGGTTATGTACATAATAATTAAATCAGATTAAAAAGAAAAAAAAAACGAAAACAAAAGAAAAGTTAAACAGAAGACCGAAACATTCAGAAACCATTGCCACACTAACTAATCACTCTTGGTAAATTCCTGTAGTTTTTCCTTTGACATCGTAACATAAAGAAAAACATCTTTAAAGAAGAAATTAATATAAAAAAATTAACAATAAAACATTTTCAAGCAACATAAAAATAACCTAAAAACAACACAAAAATAGCGTAAAAACAACATAAAAACGGATGCCCACAAACTCGGTAACCTGCTCATTGGCAAAAATTCATAACCGGCGCAGCTATTGAGCCCAGAGAAATTGGGGCAATTGGGAGCTAATTATGGAGCCCAGAGAAAAGTGCATAATTATGCATTTTTTCCTCCTCACTGTCTCCACATTATTTTTCTCTCAATTCTCCATCTTCTTCACGCCAAAAACCTAGTTCGGTTCTTAGAAATTTAGAATCAGACGCAACCTATTTCTACTTATATGGACAAAATTTTTGCATAAACACAACAATATCATGAATCAGAAAAACAAATCACAGCTTGAAGGTGTTTACTTTGTGAGAAAATTACACATACGAACAAATTGATTACACAACATACCTCTGTATTTCATGATTTGCACGAAGAAGATGAAAGGAGATTGGAGATGGGCTTGAGCACAGTATTAGTGAATCATCTCTTTTCGGTAGCGACGAATGGTGAATTTTCGGCATTGACGTGGGTCTATCGACGGTACCCGCGATTCATAAAAACTTGCCGCCGTGTGTTGCTCCGAAACATCTCTTAAGATTTATCCCATCTAAAAAAATGAGAGATTTTGAGAATTTTTAGGTTAGTTTTCTGTTTTAAAAAAAAAAAAAAAAAGAGATGAGGATGGAAAGTTGTTTATCGTGCCCAAAGAGGAGAGAGAGAGAGAAATAAATGAGAGAAGATAAGGATGGAGATATAAATAAATATTTAAAGAAGAGACATAAAAAAAATGAGAAAATAATAATTATTGTTTGGGGTAGAAATGAAAATCAAAGGAGCAGTTTTGGCTAAATAACAAGCGTTACAACTATGTAAAAATTGGTTGAGAAAGGACAAGCAGCGTCATTATTTCGTCGTTAAACCTCGGTTTCAGTTCCGGGTTGGGGTTTGGTGGTCTTGGACCGGTGGTTTTTGGCCAGTTTAGTGAATTGCCTACTTCAGGCGGTTTTTTATTTTAAATTGGGTCGGGGGTTAAAGAAATTGGACTTGAGCTTAGTTGATACACTTTAAGTTCAAATCTCAATTAAGTTGATTTTTTTTTTCGTATTATAAAAAAATAATATTTTAATTAAATTGCATATGTATCCCTTAGCTCGTCCAACAACAATAAATCATATATTGACAATAAATCAGCCGTTTTATACTCCAACAACAATAGGAGCTCGTCCAAGTCAAATCATATTGATGTTAAGTTCCTAGCTGTGAAGGAGAGAAAGTACAAAGTGGTAAAATTTTTATTGAACACTGAGGGACATAATTTATATTAGTTGATCTCCTAACTAAGGTTGTAACACCTATGGTATTTCACGAGCATATATACAGCTTATATGAGTGTGTTACATACAGTGTTCTAAAAGTCGCTAGGCGCCCGCTAGGTGCTCGACCAGCGCCTAGCGCCTAGAGCGCCTAAGCGGGGCCTAGGCGGCGCCTAGTCGGGGCCTAGAAATCAGTATTAAATACCTTATTTTTTATTTATTTAACTACTAACAAAATAAAAGTATCTCAA